CTGCTGAAGGACTTAAACCATTGTAAAAAAACCCAAAAAAACGCCAAAAAGCAAAAAAAGAAAGAAAAAACCAGAAAAAATAACAAAAAAAAAGAAAAAAAACAAGAAAACGTTAAAAAAAGGGGGGAGGGAGATTTAAAGAAATTGAGTCAAAAACTCTTGGGGTGGATAGATTATCTTTGGCTATGCTCACTAATGCGCTATCCTCGCTTCCATTTCACTACTGAATTTCATCTTTCTCTTCTCGGTATTATTTTTTTTTTTAATCTTTCTTCTGTCACTGCTCTTAACCCCTTCATGTTCATTCTTTCATAGATTCATGAGATGGTGAAGTTTCATTTTCATGCTATGAGATTTCTCTTTTCTTTTTCTCTCTCCCTCTCTCTTGCTTACAAGCCTAAAAGAATCTTTTAAACCAACAAATAAAAAGAATATTTATTTTGAAAGAGCTGGGAAGGGGGGAGGACAAGGCAATTATTTGGGAGGGAAGGGGCAATGTGGGGTTATGGGAGGGGGGGAGGAGGGAGTTTATCAAAAACAAAGGCACATTTGCAAGTTGCCTTTTTCCACCTTCAGGAGTTTGCAAGCTGTTTTTCCTGTATGAATGTGTGTGTGTGTGGCACATCTGTGTGTGTGTGCGTGCATGTATGTAGATATGAGTGTGTGTGCAAGCATATTTTCTGGGGAGGGGAGCTGGGGAGGGGGGTTTTGTAATGTCTTTTGTAGAAAGAGAACACAGACGACATTTAACCGGCAATGTTTTGGGGAGAATAGCAGGGTTTTGTTTGCTCATTGCAGCTTTGTGAGGTTGGAGGTCAGAGTCCCAGCTTTTATTAGAGAGACAGAGCTGGGGAGGTAGATTGTGCAAATATAGAATCATAGAATCACAGAATGGTTTGGGTTGGAAGGGACCTCAAAGACCATCTAGTTCCATCCCCCCCTCCCATGGGCAGGGACACCCTCCACTAGACCAGGTTGCCCAAAGCCCCATCCAACCTGGCCTTGAACACTTCCAGGGGCAGAACTTCTCTGGGCAACCTGTTCCAGTGCCTCGCCACCCTCATAGTGAAGAATTTTTTCTGTATATGTAATATAAATCTACCCTCCTTCAGCTTAAACCCATTACCCCTTGTCCTATCACTGCATGCCCTTGTAAACAGCCCCTCTCCAGTTTTGATATAGATACTTGCTGAGGAAAAAGAGGGCCTTGGGGATCAGCAATGGGACAGTGCTGCTGTCCACTGCTGGCATATGACCTCTAGCAGACTAAGCTGATTCAGTCCCTGAAGGAGGGGTCATTCGTAATCATTCCCACTCTGCATCTTTCTTACTGAGTTTGTGGAGAAAAGCAGTTGCAGGACTCTGAAAACTCAACCCTTCCCCCCCTACTTGTTCCTTGTGCCAGACAAGGGACTTCACACTCCATCCCACTGAGTGACCATAGCCTAGAGCAAAGTGCAGGAAAGCGTGGATGTTATTTAACTCTGTTGTGCTTCAGGACAAAAAAATCTGGAAATGATAACTATCACTTTTCCTAAGAAGTTCAGGAGCAAATGGTGGCTTGGCAGCCTCTGATCTGTACTGCTTCTATCAGGCCTTGCTTTATATCTGTTAATACATGCAGAGTGTAGAGAAGAGCATCCTGTGTCCCTACTTGCAGGAGATGTAATTAAGGATCCAGTAGAGTTCATGGAGCATCATCCCGCTGGAAGATGATGGTCTTCAAAGACTGGGCAGGGTGAATATTGCAATGAAAATGCTGAGCTTGTCAGTGCTTATGGAAGCCCCTAAGTCTGCAGCAGCTTCCATCCACAGGCACTCCATTATAAAGGTACAGAACAGTCACTTGGCCTTGGACAGTCACTTGGCCTTGGACAGCAAGGTCAACTTTTTCCAAAGCAGCCAGTGACTTTCAGGAAAATCCCTGAATTATTGACCACTTTGGCAATCACTGATGATTGATAATCTCCCTTATAATATTAATAAAAGCCATGAAAATAATAAATTCACAAGTGCAAAACTTTAACCCTAGGGTCATTCTGCCATTCCTGGAGTAATGATGAGAACCTTGTTCTTACCTGATAGAGCTTTTTACATGCCAGACACACAGACATGCACACCCTGCCTTGAATCCAACCATTGCTTTATTTTCCTGTTAGCATTCTCTTCCTTATTCCTTGATTCCCATTGCTTGGGAGACCAGAGTGATCCTCTGAGACCAGGGAAACTCCTATTTTTCAGTTGACAGATGCATCTAATACATCTTTTCCTTCACTAATTTTATGACTGTACAGTGCTATGAAAATGTGAATCACTAGGCCTGACCTAGTAACACTGAAGTCATGGAAAGTTTTGCCTTGACTTGGATGAAGCAGGATCAGGGCTCATCAGAGTAATAAGTATTGTTATTTTTATATCAGTAATATGTCTTACACCTTTTCTACTAGTAGAATCCTAAGCATAAAAGTAGAGCATCCATCCTTCTCAGTTGCCCTCAATCTCTGTCTCCCTCTGTCATACTCATGTATGCACACATTCAGTTCAGGCCTCCCTGTACTCACCAAAGTTTTAGCACAATTGTTAAATCAGGCTTAGATTCCCAGCTGCCCTGCAGAACAGCCTCTTGCTGGTTTCCACATTCAAGAGTGATGTTGTTGAAAATGGGTCTTCCCACTTTTATTGTAGTTTATGGTCTAGATGGGTCTGTATAGGAATAAGAGTGAATGGAGCTGGATGACAGGGCTAGGACTGGATGGGGTAGCTTTGTCTACCTGATATGCAGGAAGTTAAAGCTTGGCCAGTGGAGAAAGTTACGCTTTCTAGTGGGATTCTATTTGGAAATGGCTTTTAAATGTTTTAATGGAAGTCATAAAGTTGTGGTTTATGACATCACCAGTATAAAGTAGGTGGATATATGCATGTCAGATGACTGCAGTTCCCAGATGGAGGCTGACTATCAGCAGGTTTGGTTTTGAAGGGGAGTCTAACCAGTTGATTGGTGATTAAATAAAATATCTAAACACTTACACTTTCTATATGTGATTGCAATGTAAAGGGTGGTCAGAATGATAGAAGGGAAAAAAGAAGCAGTTATACGAAGCCCACTAAGATTGGAGGGAGAACAAATGGCCATGTGGTTAGAAATTATGATGAGGGAGATGGCTCTGAACTCCAGTAATTTGATAGTTGTAGTAAAAGCCTGACAGATTTGTGGTAGGAGTTAGGCACCTGAGAGCTCTCTGAGCTGGTCCCAAAGACTCGTAGGGGCAGTGACACGCAGATGATGCAAAACCCACCTATGCTCTTTGCTGCTCAGCTGCTGAGGCCCACATGGAGTGGGATTCTGACTTATCCCATCCAGCACACTGCAGGTACAGCCCAGGGTCTCCAGCAGCTGATCAGGCACAGGGGGGCTGTGCTTAATATTTAAGGCTTCAATCAGAGATTGAGCCCAAGGTTTCATAGCGACAATCCAAAAGCTTTCCAGGGAAAAAAACACTGCTCAGCTAATTTCTTCACCTGCTGGGACTGAGAGCCAAACTCATTTGCTATTGCTTCAGTTCTCTGTTGGCTGGGTTCTCTTTCTTATCAGGAGTCATCCTAGTTTCTCTCTTTGAATGTTTCTGACCTGGTATTACCCAGTCAGTTTTACTTTCTAAAGTCAGTCTTAGTATATCCAGACATCTGGACTATTTGGTCCTGCACAATAATCTTTGCCAAAGAGTGTGCGGTCAGGACTTTTCACAGTTCAGGAACTGCCTTATAATTTCTGGTGATGGGGCAGAATGCTGGAGAACAACTGAGTGTCCTGTGAGTCACATGGGTAATAGAAAACGTGTTCCCATACATGAGTGAAGGAAGAATGCTGAACGCCTTTAGAAATGCCCTCCTCCAGAACCAAGGTGGCACCTCCATTTTTCCCTTCCATAGCTGTCTCTGTCCACCCCTAAGAAAGGCAACAAACCCATGTCTTGTTTTGAGGTCCAGTGATCCAGAAAGGAGATAGTGAAGAAAACCGGCATTTTAATCATACTCAAGGCTCAGACGTTTCAAGCCATCACAAGCATGAGGAGAGGAAAGGCATGAATCTCTCATGCAGTGGGTACAGAGCTCGTGTTATTGGAAATGTGGAGGAGATTTCCATGCTGCAGCTTGCGTGCCTGCTCCTGTCCAACTTTTCTTCACAAAGGAAGAGCAGCGGGGAATTGTTCCAAAGTGGAGCTGCTTCTGACTTTTGTTGCAGTGGTACAGGAGGCAATTCTGATATGGGGCTTGATTTGCAGCTTGGGGCATGATTGCTTCTTGCTGGGTCATGTTTTTTAGCAGAGACTAACACAAGCATGAGGGACACTCCAGGCTGCCTGAGGAAGCTTGGCTGGGGAGAACGTTTTGCACCTTTCCCATGCATAACAGCCTAAGGCAGGCATGTGGAGGAGGAGAAGGAAGAGGAGAAATAGAAATGAAATCTCTCTCAGGATATACATGGCCAACAGAACTCTATCACTTCATTTTCTGATACTGTATAGTGTTGTCACTCAGGGACCTTTAGGAACTAGGACCTTGGGACTGTAATCCTACCTGTCCTCCTCCTATACCCCCCTTCACCTTGAGTATTGAGAACTGAAAAGAGAATGAGAGAAAGAGCAAAAGAGGAAAATAAGAGCCCTGGTAGCAAACCCCTGCTATTCCATGGGTGAAAGTACAGCTTTGGTTACTAAGGTAAAAGGAAAATGTATACCTTTATATTCATGTCTTCAAGCATAAACCAGCCCGTAGTGTATATAGGATAAGTTCACAGTGCATGAAACAAACAGGACTGTAGGTCTTAACTGGCATCCAGCTTCTTGCATGCACATCTGACACCATGCCAGCAGCTTATGTCTTGCAAATAAGCAGGGAACCTGCCAAGACTTGGCACTTCCTCTGTCCAATGGACAGCACATCCACTTCCCAGAAAC